AGTTGTTTCGTCTTGTGAGTCGCTGACACTTCAGCTCACTGGTCCCGGGTTCAAAAAAACTCGAGTGTGGCAGCAGTTTCTGCGGCTATACTGAAGTCAAGTGTCCGCGACTGACGAAGGGTAATTACCCAGAAATACGCGTATCTCGCGGTCCTAACGTTTGCCAGCTATGCAGTTTCCGCCTTACCGCTGCAAAAATTGATGTTACCACTTTTTCAGATAAATACTGTGAGACCAAAGACGAAGTAAAATGAGTTGAACTGTTAACTATCGTTCACTTCACTACGTTTAACACTGGCATTATGAAAATGCCAGTTCTTTCATCGTTCTGCCCACGGAAGTAATCCAATAGCCACTTCTTCATTACCGTTTGGTTAACTCAACCGGTTTTATTCACGTAGACAAAAAGGTAGTCATCCATGGTGTTCGGGAGAACTTACTGAATTGGAACCTACTTTGAGGCGTCAACACGCCTTCAGTAAATGAACCTTATACTCCCCAAGCATTCTTATATAAATGTAATAACAAACAGGAAGTGCGACCGTAAAGAAAATGTTGGATGTGCATGACGCCCCAGATAAACAAAAAGTCCTATTGAAGTATTCATAAATAGGACCTTAATGGAAACGCATTTTGAGGTGATCAATGATTATTTATATAAAATATGACTTTTTGTATACATATATATATACATATTTAGCAACAAAGTTACCTTAGTAGTCGGGACAAGAGGATCGTCTCTGGGGTATGCGCCCGCAACATATTTTCGAATATAAATACGAACTTTTGGAGGTAGTTATTGACAGATACCTTAAGCGTAAATGAAACAGAATTTTTTTCGAGTGTTTAAAGTCGTTCCTAATTTGCATGGCTTAGCTATGTTTGCATGTGTTCGTTGAGCATACGCCTGTGTGTTTTGATGAGCTGAATTTCAAGCGAATAAAAGGACTAAGCCATTTGTTGATGTTCGCAGCATGTCTTTTAAAGAAAGGGATTTACTTTATCGTCTAATTATAAGGTATCTTGCTTCTGTTTTTCTTCACACTTTCAGCCAACTGTTTTACGATGGTTATCAGACCTTGGCAATGAATCTGATGAATCTCGTAAGTCCATCAAACGCATGTGGACCGTCCAATCGTCTTCTGAAGTTGGTTAAGGCAGGTCTCTCCGTATCTGATGGTTAGTTGTTAACTTTAAAATCTGCGTATTAATTTGGTCATACGCAATTTTTGTGCATCTTCTAGATTTTTGCTTGCTTCACTCCATTTTTGTGCTCTGCATCGTCTCGGTTTTTGGCCTTGTATATTGTGACTGTGTCCTTGCACGTAATTTCTCTTATAATAACTTGTCACTTTATTATAGTTTCTTTCTTACAGAATAGCTGGTGTATCCGTAACATAGGCACACTTTTTTCTATCAGGATCATTTTCCGAACGCTTTGTGGCTCGAGTTAATATGTTCGATCAGTCCCACTTAGCATAACGGAAGCGCCCTGTGCGCATCAGCAGCGGAAACCTGGCGTCAGTGGGAGGAGTGCATTACGCTTTGCTGTAATGTTGTCTGTCCTAGTTGAACAAAGCAGCCACACAACCATTGCCAACCCCCCTCGGGTGATGCCCACAATTCATAATCCCAGGCAGGTCCTGCTTGCTCCTGGGCCTTTGTCCT